ATCACCACAAAGCTCATAAACTTAGGGTTAGAGGCTTAATTTAACTTTTCAAGACTTTAAATAAATCAATGGGTTCGATTTAAACCCAAAGGAACTGAAATCAAAGCCCTTATTGCCCTACCAATCTAGATTTTCACATAAAAGAGGGAGAGGGAGAAGAAAGGAAGGCTTAACCAACTTATATGAAGCTTGAAAGGCCTCCAAAATCACGTTGGAAGCAAGCCCTAGCAGCCATAAGTCTCCCTTCATCGCTGCTCTCGAGTTTCTTCTTTCTCTCTTCTGTTTTTCGAGTCTGATTCATGATCTGATAAGTGCAGATTTTACACATGTGCTGTGGCGCATTAACATGCCCGCCGCGACGCATGACACAGAAAATCTCACAAAATTTCAAACTCCCTTCCATGCCATGGCCCGCTTAAACATCGACTTAGCCCTCTTCTAAGGCTGTCTAAGGATTCAAAAACCAAATTAGTCTCCCATAAACCTCGCTAAATCAAAAAATCATCTAAATTGACTAAATTACCTTTGAAAACACTGATAATTACTAATGGAAAAACTTAGGATATTACACCACACAACCAGTTAGACTATACTCAAGGGACTTAATATGACATATGCAACACACCACAATACACATATATAATATAGATTATATTTTTACTTATCAACCCCAAATTCATCAAAAGTAAATAGGAAGGTATTTTAACATCAAATCTTACAATTTTTAATTACAATCATCTTAAACTCTAAAGTCATACTTGCACTAATATTTTGACCCTACCCAAACTTCTCAAATCACACTATTCTAGGGCCCAAAATAGAACCAATCAACATAAACAATTATATAGTGCATAAATTATCAAAGTATGCATTTTTTTTAGTTGGCATTATCAAATTAGTTACACATATATAAACCAAAATAAAGAGGCATACATTAGGAAATAAGATTCATAAGCCTCTGGTGCTTTCCCTTTATTCTAACCTAAGCTAGTGCTTGTAAAATATTTAATGAGTGGTGAATACAACCACTCAGTAATCAAGGTACATCAAACATATACTAATACATGTTAATTAATTATAGTGATTCAAATGATATATTCAAATAAAACATATTCATATATTAAACCACTCAATTTATATAATTACAAAACTAACAATCATGTGATATTAGATTATTTAGCATGCAAGGGTCACAATACTAACGACCATGTGCCCTTTATAAAAGGTGTCAAACTACAAAAATAACAATCATATAACCAAATAATGATATGCACAATCAATGCCAACCTTATATCCTCCTAATACCTTCGACATGAAACCAGTGACTATTTAGTGGGTTACATCCATGAACTCAGACTACCCAATAATGAGACAATGACTACCTCCCAGTTTCAATGGTTGGTAGCTTGGTTAGCTTTTGATTTCAACAATGAGTGGCTAATACCATGTAAATTTCCCATATCTACTCTCCCTATAACTCCTGCCCCACATAATCATACCAACACAAATATGCATATAAATCCTCATAACTAGCATACAATTTATTGTCCTCATTTTCATTATAACACAATCATCATATGCTTCTCACATCATAAATTAGTACATAACTCCACACTCACAATTTTCTTTACATAAATCCACATAACTTATCAATTTACCATCATTTTGTATTGCTCATTTGAGACAATAAAAAAGCACAAGATTTGCTTAAATTAGTCTATATCGCAATAATCATTCCATTTGCAAGTTCACACATATTTATTTTCAATATCTCATAAATCATAATATTTGATTTTCAAATATTTCATGCCATACTTATATAAAAACATATTTACATATCTCCACAATAGTTTATAAAAACCAAGTAACTAACTAACGCACAAAAATAAAAGTAAAATTTCTCTCAATTACCTCAAACTTTTGAGAGGTCAAATGTTACCTCTCAATCACAACTTGCTTTATGAGGTTAGCCTACAATTAATTTTAACACCCATAACTAATTATCATCAAAATCACCACTTCCAACATCTAATTTCATACTTTACTAACTAAATTTTCCAACTACAACATCAACTTCACATCCGATGAGTTCATTGACTCACATTAATTTCATTCAGCTCTTAACAACTTAAATAATCACTAATATTTCATCCAACAATCCAAAATCATCATCAATGTCACAAATTACTCATTTTCAACTCTCAAATTTCAACACTTTAATTACCAAAAACTCAACTTTTGAGTTTAATCATCACATTAAGTTTATTAACTCCCATTAGCTCTAACTAACTTTATTAAACCCATCTACTACTAGTAATGGCTTCCAACAATCCCAACCTTCATCACTAATGACACTTCAATACACAAATTTGTCCATAATTGAGAGCTCAAACAACTCTCATTAGTTCCATTTAGACTAATGGGTTCAGACCCATAACTCTAGGTCTAAAAATCCTCATATCCTAACTTTATATCTCACTTCCAAAATATGTAGAGAGAAGAATAAGAGATAAGGAAAGCATACCTAAGTGAAATCAAGCTCTAATTAGCTCCAAAATATTCAAAAGTTGATGCCCTAGTAGAAAAAATACTCTCTTTGTCATCCCCTCTCTGTTTCTAGTTCCTTTCTCTCTGTTTTGATGTTTTTTTTTTTTACATTTTTAAAAAAGCTAATTTTGGATATTACATTGTAATGCACAATGGGCCAAATTTTAATTTTCTCTCTACAATTTGAGTCCAAGTGAACTAATTTACTTCCAAACCTAATCTAATGACTAAAACTATACCTAATTGGCCTATTAGTCATCTCTAACTATCCTCAAACCAATTTATACTTAAATTTATATATTTACCCTTCATTATCTTAATTAATCAGAGGAATAATTTTTGGAATGTTACACAGAATGAATAATTCTTTAGTTCATTCTTCCTCTCCCTCTCTTTCTCTCTTTGGTACATCTGATGTGCAACATAGTTTAGACTCTAGTTGTCTAAACTCGTGTGGGTAGTCAAGTAGATTGTGCTTTGCCCAGATTTGGTAAGATTTTGGCCTTACTCTTTATATTCAGTTTATTATTTATTTAACATTCCTTCATCCAGAAAATAATACTTTGAAGATAAATTAGAATTAGGAAACGATAAATTGTCATTGGGTAAGAAGATGGCTTGACAACAGATGAGATTCCTGTTTTTAATTTATTTTTTTTAAATCCTAATAATCCATTTTTGGTGAGAGGAAAGTGATTGATGAAGGCTTTGCATGTTGTTGGAGTCCTCTTGATTGGGAGTGTTCCCAAGCATTTTTGTTCGGCTCCAAATCCGCTCCTCACTTAATGTAGTAGTCCCTAGATACAAACCAGTTTAAGAAATGAGAGGTGGTTTTGAAATTATTTAAAACTTCCTTCAGATCATAATATAAGATATTTTCTAGAAATTTTGCTTAATCCAAAATATTGAGCATTGGATTATTCTTATATTTGTTTTTCTAAGTATATCCCTACTTCATTTATTACTCTTTTTTAAAAAAAATCATGCATTAAAATTTTAATTACTATTATCAAGACTCTTATATAGGATATTTAATGAGGGTATAAATGAAAATATGTTGATATTTTTAAGAATTTAAGGTTTCAATTACTATTGTTTGTAAACTGTGAATTAGTTAACTATAACTTATATTATGATCTAGAGAGAGTAATTTATATTGGTGAGGTGAGCTTATCATGATGAAGAAGAAAATCTCTTTTTTTCTAAATTAGATGCAAAATGAAAAAGAAAATGCTTTATATTTTTTGTTGTTCTCCGTTTGAAAACAATTTGTCATAGATATGATTGAATAGAAATCAATCAAAAAAAAAAAAAAAACAGAAGAGTTATTTAGCATAAGATTCCCCCGGCTCTTGTTTGTTAGTGATATTTGCTTTTTGTAATCTTTGATGCACAATTCAAGAAAATATCCTCCTACAACTTGTAAATAGATGTACAATATTTCAATTGTCAAAGCTATAATTGTTTTTATTTCTTTACAATATGTTATAATTGTTTTTGTTACTTACATTTTTGGTTAATCTTCAGTATTATTTTGTTTGCTACCACTTTGTTGGTATCTCAAAACTGCTTTTAAGTTTTATAAACTTGTTAATCGCCTATTGCATCCTCCTTTTAAGTAAACCTGTCATCCTATCAATGTTAACCAATTATTTAGCTCATGTAATTTTCTTCAGGGATTAATCATGATACTCGATTTCCTCTCCTAAATATTATTTTGGGAGAATTTTAGTATAGAATCACATATGAGACTTTATTTCAAATTAGGTCCAATAGATTCTGAAAATTCATCACAAGACCAAGGGACTTAATTGAAAATAAGTTTTGAAGATAAATTATCATAATATTTTGTCATTTCCCTTCAAAACTTATTTTCCATCAAGACCCTTGACCCTCCAATGAATTTCAGAATTTATTAAGCATGATTTGAAGTAAAGTTCTATTTGTGATCCTATACTGAAATTCTCCATATTATTTTCTCTGTATATTTTAGTTTAGCTGTTACGCTTAATGATTTTGGGTAGCTTCACATTAGGTTGTTGAACTCCATACTAACGCTGGACCTCATATTTGGGCACTAGTATTCAAATCTTTTTTAATTACTCATTTTCAACGTCTTGGTATTAATTTCTTATAAAACAAACAGAACTTCAGCGCCAAGTCAAAGAACTATTCGATTGCAACTGAGTTTCAAATTGCTGGATCACATTGCAATTTTGTACATGAGGATCCCACAAGCATGGCTTGGACAAATCGCGATCTCATGGGGTTGGGTAGAGGAAAGTTGAAATAATAAATAATTTTTGGATCATTGAAAAAATATTGTAAAGAATATTTTTTTTCCCAATAACAAGTTTCAAAAGTACTAAAATTTCCCTCACAAGCCAGTATCTTAATATTGTCCTAAAACTTAAAAACTGAAACAACCTGGCTAGCAAGTTTTGTACATTACCTGCATGATACAACAAATCATCAGTAATAATATTAAAGCGCTATAAACCTTTGACTCAGGCTTGTTCTTTACACTGAGTACACACTGGAGACATATCATTCATTTGTACAATATATATATATATATATATATATATAAAAGCAAGCCAGGAATAATTCAAGGCCCTGAAAACCTATAGAATTTCAAAGCTATAACATAATACAAATATGTGCTTCCAAATAAAAAGCGATGGTATCTATATTACAACCATTATTGCACTTTACTATGCTTCCTGCCACGAAACTTAGCCTTCATCTCATACTCATCACAACCCAAGGAGTCATCCCCGGAGCTGGCAGCGCTGGCCGTATCACAGGTACACGTCTCACGACAGAAAATGCTTCGTTGAGACGAGCAGCACGGCTCATGAACTGAGATACCTTCTGCAAAATTGTTCGGTGAAACCCAAAGAAATCAATGATCAGTAATGATTTTTAAAAGGCATCATAAATATTGAAACCAACAAAGATAGTTACAGAATGCAGATGCAAGTAGATTTGAATGAACATCCAGCTCAAACATATACCTAGAAAGCAACTCATTATTAGAGACATAACCATTCATAAGTGAACCTTAAGTGAGACAATGGAAGTGAATCTCTACAAAGTACATCAATAATTATTTCTTATAGACTGAAAATGTATATAAATCTTATTGAGTGCCAATTCAAATCCTAATTGAAATCATGAGTTCAAATATCAACTCTACAAAACCATCAGCCAGAAATGCTACTCGGAATAAATACAAAGAATTCAACTTGGATGACATCTTGGGCTTAATTCTCCCACATATATAGCCCTCCCCTTCTTGCATAACTCCTTAATGCATCCTGCTGAGAAGCAAACTTCGGCCTTTGGCCTTCACAGGTCTAGAATTTCAACTCTTTGAAATGAAAAATTAGAGCAATAAAAATATAAATTTTCCTTAAAGCATTATTATAAATTTGTACAATAACATAATTAAATTGTGACGTTAACACAGAAGCAGTTAACCACTTTGTTTCTGCCAAAATGGTCTCAAGATTGACTACTAGAAATCCCACAGTTTCAAGTATTTATCTTTAAACATCCATTTCATTAACAACTCAGCATGAAACTTGATTCACAATCACACCTTCCACCATTGAGGTAGGATAGAGATATTCAGGGAGATTATACAACTAAAAAAACTACAAGCTTAACTAAAATCACATTCGTTTTTCAGCCCCAAATATTAAATCAAACTAGCAAAAAAAATATATCTAACGACATTAACAATCCACAGGCAATAATCATTAACACATATTCACTTGGAATAAAACTGTAAGTAAATTAAAATTAAAAAATTATGGATAATACATGATTAACCAATGAAAAATATTCAGCAATAACATAAAAATAAATTTAAAACAAATATATAAGCTTATAAAGCAACAGCACATAAAAAGAAAGGAGCCATATTCATATTCATGTCCAGCACATACAGATGACATGACACATTACATTACATATGAATAATTTGAATTTTTGTCGTGTTGTAATGTTTGTCATTGTCCATGCGTATGCTAAACAAGCCTAAACAATGACAATGCAGTATATAGCAACACGCAATTGCAAAGATTATAAGCTTTTCAATCTTCAAGGCCAATAAAACAATACCATAAGAATAATTGAGATAACCAGATTATCTAGATAGATACGAACCTTATCATCCATGGTAACCTTAAGCTTCAAGCTTGGACTCTTCTGCTTCATTTTATACAATCTCCTTCCCAATATGATAAATCCAATGAAAGCTGCAGCCATAGAGATAGACCACACGGGGCTCACCTTTAAAACACAGTATTTTATGACCTCCAAGGGAACTTTCCACCATACTATTTTTCTCTTCCCTCCAGCACCATCTGGAGTCAAATCAGATTTCATTTCTGCTAATTGAATACTCTTACTCTCAGTTGAACGCTCCTCCTCTTGAATCAATTTCACTGAATCCATATCACCATTTAATCCATTAGAAGACTCTGATGTCTCAAAAGTATTCACATTATCATCCAATCCCAAATCATCACCACTAGAATCACAAAAGCACTTCTCCAAGCTCTTGCTCAACAAATCAACTTTCCCAGTAACTTGGCTTCTTGAATTGTCAAAAATATTTGATTCCACAGTCACATTCAAATCATGAGACCCTAATTTACCAAAATTCTTACTCTTTGCTTCTATTTCCCCAATCCCTCCAGAATCCACACAGCTTTTCATCATTTCTGCCAAAGCCAATTCGCTTGTCACTTCCAACTCATGGGTCTTCTGCTCCTCAGAACGATCACTGCTCGAATCAGACCAAAACTCACCTGAATTATTTCTCTTATACTGCCCGGTTTCAAGGGTAGGATCAACCCAGCTAGGGTTATCAGACTCCACAGAACCCTCTTCAGTGCCATCACCCTCTCCTGAAATATTCATGGCATATTTGTTTTCACTATCAATAGAAAAGTAATCATGCCTCAACATGCCACCATCAGTTTCGACTCCAAGACCAGCAAAATTCCCAGAACCCATGAGTGGGGCATCATCCTCCGACTTGTGGAGCAGTTCCCAGTCCTGGAAATCAACAGCTTCTCCTTCCATGAGGATGGATTTGGAGTTCCGATTGCTGGAGAATCAAAGTGTATGGAATAAAAGCAGAAGAGGTGTAGGAGGAGAATGGTGATCAGTTTCGAGTTCAGTTTCTCCTTCCTATTTCCTGCCACTATAACATCATAACATATAAATATGTTAAACTCATGTGTTGCAAATGCCTAATTCTTTTCACATCTGATGGCTTGCTATGAGATCAAAAAAGAGAATGGAAATGGACTGGATGAATGGTAAAGGAAAATGGAAGTTTCTTGTCAATCAACAAATCATATATAGTACTCCTCCGTCCCAAATTATAAAACATTTTTAGAAAAAATTTCATATATCAATAAACCTCACTAAATACACCTAACAACCTTATCTTTCCAAAACAAAAATATAAACTTCCAAAAATACACATCATTTAATATATTGAAAAGAGAAGAGATAGAAATTAATTATAGAGAGAAAAAGGGTAATATTAAAATTAGCGCATTTAATAAAATCTGAATCTAGCCAAAGTGTCTTATATTTTGAGATGGAAAAACTCTTTCAAAAGTGCCCTATAATTTGGAACGGAGGGAGTGTTTTTTAAATGAGCGAGAATCAACTCTAATTAATGTGCTAATTATATGTGATGTCATGTCCCTCTTAAAATTTGTCATATATGTGGATCTTAATCACCTAGTATCATCATGGCCACACCATGCACGCAACAATTTGTGAATAATAAATACTTCACTTGACGATCTGCTTGAACTTTGGGCCATGCCTAAGATTTGGTAACTGCTTTTATCTTAGAATGCGTTCACTAATTCACACATGGAGAACCAGTTCTGAAACTCAAACTGTTATCACTGTTTAAACACACAGCACAAGAAAATTGTTTAAACCTGTTATATACATTTCAATCACGACTATTAATATATACACACAACAAAAATTGCAATTACTTCTCAACAGAAGAGAGAAAATCCACACCTTGTTATATATCGATTACCTTGATATACTTGTCCCTAACAGATTTTTCAGCAGTTACACATTGACTTTTAGAGTCCCATCTAAAACCTAACACAATTACAAATTTACAATTAGAAATAGACAGAGGTGAAACTCAATTCTCATCACTTAGTCATAAGGAAGTTCAGTACCAAACAGATTTGTTGGCAGTTACACGTGAGCCCATAACCTCAGAGGAAAGGCTCAATTGAAACAGATAGAGTTGCAAACATCTTTACACTTTTAAGAACGCAAACAACAGATAAGAGCATGGGCATGTCAAAACTTCAATAAGAAACCATAGTCCATAAGTCAATAGAAGTATGGAAGCAAAACTAAAATTCACATACACATACGTATACTAGAGATAAAATGCATTCCAGAAAGCATTTATGAAACATGTGGCGCAATTCATAATTTACAAAGCCCAGAAAAAGTATGATGTATGCAATAACAAGCTCCTTTGTAATGCACAATTAAGTAACTCAAGCACAGAAAAACTGTTACAGAAAAATCTATCCTAAGCACAAACGAACTTAATACCAGAACCAACAAGAATATCTATAACACAGATAATTAAACTAAGTAACATATTTAAGAAAACAAAAACAACTGATAAGAATGAATCTTAATCATGGGTCAGAAATAGAGTTGAAGTTACTACTCATCCATGCAGAGCGATGATAAATATAAATATATATATATATAATACACATGAACCCGTAAACCTCGAACCGAGTCATTAGTCAAATACTTGAAAGACAACACTGGATGCATGCCCCTACATATGATATTCTACCACTCAATCACAACTAAATACCAACTGTCAAGTTCAACATCTCCACTAATTTAAGCTCGCCTCCCCTAATATTTTCAGTAGAGGGTGCACCATTTCCTATGACCAGGAACCAATTTGGCCATTTTGGACTGAAGTAACTGGAAACAACTTTGGAGTTCAGAAGCTCTGTGATAGGAACGTATTTCACATCTGAGAAACACCTCAGCATATTAGACTAAATAAATGGTACTTTCAAAGTAATATATGACTAGCTTGACAGATCCATGAAACACATCATATTGTACACGGTAAAAACTTTTTATTCTCTAAATTCAAATGTCATAGGCACAATTAAATAGGCACCAGAGCTGTATTTCCACTAATAAAAGTTTTACTTTTAGAAATTTCCAAGAATAACAATTAATTCATTCTTATTAAATCAAGTGTTCCCATTTACACCATTTCCGGAGATTAAAATGATTAGGGAAATTAATTAAATGATGCTATTATATTCTGTTCTCTAACGTATCCTGATGATGAAACAGGATTATAGAAGAAGAAATTGCATGTGAATCATGAACAAGTAGACCGTAGACTCATAAAAACTGTGGAGACGAGAAGAATTATGCAGAATCGAACACGTAGTCAGGGAACATCTATTCAGACCCGTTTTCTTCAAATAGACGCAAAGAGCTCGAGAGGGACGTTAACGTCGAGGATTCAGTTCACCGTAAAGCATACCAAAAATTCCACACATTTGATCCATCGATCAAGAAAAAAAGATGATGCAGATATCCTCAATCGGTAGTTTCCTTTATCATAAATCAAACAAGCTAAAAAATCAAAGAAGAACTAGAGATGAACATCAAACACGACAACAAGAAAGCACCAGAGACGGAAAATCCAATACCGGCCGCGACCTCCACTCCTTCGATGGCGAGTTCTCTTCTTCGCCCCGAGTTCTCGTTCAGATAGGGCAAACAGAGAAGTGAGAAATGAGAATTTGTGTTCGGCTTCTTTCCATTAACAATACCGTCCCCAGCACCTCGCCACCTGAAACGACGGTGTTTTAGTATGTGGGCATTGACAAGTTGCCACCTGCGCTTGGCATCTTCTTTTTTTCGTTTTGCTATGCGCCCCTCCCACACGTTATTATCCCCGTTTTAATGCACACTCTCCCCCTCTATATGTTTGAGATATTTTTAATCCAATCATATAAATTAATAAAAATTAAAATTTAATTAAAAGTATAGTAAAATTTTAAATTTATTTCTGATTATTATAAATAAAAATAAATTTATTTTTTAAAATAAATTATTTAAAGTACTTATATTTTTTTCAATTTAATAAAGATATAATGGTCCAATTATTAAAAAAAATATACTAACAATCTCTTATATTTAAGGATAAAAAAATTTTTAAAGACTTCTTATATATAGAGAAGGAGAGAGTAAACAGTTTTTGAAAAAAAATCATATCAATAAAGTCATTATTTTTGTGAAAATATATTTTATTTTTTTACTCCTAATCTTAATTACCAATTACCATTACCAATATATTCTATAATGAGTGAGACATATATATTTACATAAATATTTAAATTAATAACTATAAGAAATAACACAAGAAAATTTATTTTACATGTTTTAGGTTCTTATATTTTAAATTAACATTAGTTCTAGAAAATAGTTATATTTTGGACCAAAGGGAGTATAAGATATTCTTGTTTCAAAATATAGTGTACCAGGTATTTTTATAAGTGTTTTTTTTTAAGCTATATCCCTTACTTTAATTATTATATTCCTTTTTAAAAAAAACTAATTCATCAAAATTATTATTAAAGCACTCGTGTCAAGAAATGATCAACTCAAAGTCAAATTCAGAGCCACGTACAAGTGAAGGGGCTCAAGGTGTCTCCACTTTCTTTTGGTGCATTTCTCCTTCACTTCTTCAAAACAACACTATTTTGATTAGTGATGAAATCTCCATCGTCCATTTATGGTTGTCATCTCAACTGTTTGCATCCTTATCACTCCTCACACCCCAACTCAGTCCTCTCCCTCCCTCTTGGCGTTACTCTCCTCTTTCCTTGTCGATTCAATGTTGGCACCCTTAATTGTCGAAGCAAGGAGTGAATTCCAATCACTGCACAAGATTAACTATCGTGGCTCGAGAAATTTGGTTGAAATTTTGCCTCAAGAATTATGGAGGAGGATATAGGGTTGTTCAAACAAGGTTGGTGATCGCTTCAATCTCAGAAGGATGCTTATTGGCGTGCTCAAACTACATTGAGTTGTTACAAGGACAAAACTACCAGTTCATCGAGCAACATTAGCCGTTAATATGCAGTGCATGCTTCAAATTGGGGAGTACTCTTCGCCTATTGTTGCTTTATTGGAAAGACTATTTTGTAAGGGCTTTCAATCATTCATCAAGTTGGGTCCAGACATGCTTCTCCTCATAATGTGGTGTTGTCTTCTTAGTTTGATCTCGATGCATTGTTTGATTTATGTACTTGTTAGCATGGTATGCATTGATTCATACCATATTGCTTAAATCTAGCATTGCTAATATCTAATCTATGTTCTTGTTTTAATATTTGTGCATCTACTTTTCCTTTTAGCTATTAATGTTATTGTTATTAATTTCACTTTGATTTCATTTTATAATAGTGATAGATTGGCTGATACTTTATTGCAATAATGCATTTTTTTATTTCTTATACTGTTGGAATACTCCATCAAAAATTTTGTAAAGAGCCAGAGAATAAAATTGGAAGAATTTTGCTTAGATATGAAAATAGGACACTTCTTTTTTAAATATAAATTGGGAGGTTGGAGAACTTTAAATGTTGTGCAAAATGTGGACCTACCATTTATTGCAATCCCCCACAAAGTTTGATTCAGGTTGTTGAGTAGATCTTAATGTCATTTATATCAACAGAAATTTAATTGCATTGATTTTAATTGCTCTCTGGGGAATATACGTATGTTGGATTTGTCTTGGGGCTTTCCTCTTTTTCTCTTTGCCCTGTTTCGACAAGTTCCTTTTTCAATTGCTAATAGTGTTGAGTTTAAGAAAAATGTTGATTTGTTTATTTTCTTCGATGTGTTTGAAAGACATGTGTGAGTTTTAAGAATATATTTTCTTATTTAGATTTGGTTAATGCGATACAGTGGATTGTGTTCTTAAATTTCTGACATTTTTTTCATTTTATCGATCTCTTGCCAGCTCCAAAAACAGAGTTTGGAGAAAATTCAGATCTTACAGATGAAATTAAGGGGTGACAAAGATAAAAAACGAGGCATCATTGTTATAATATATTATCAACTCAATTATCATATGTGCATGGTAAAGTAATTTCTACCCTTCATTTTTGCTTGATATACGTGTTATAATATACGTGTTTTCTTTCCGTGACTGTTTACTTTCTGGTTAAATTAGGTAAATGCTTTTTCTTAACACATTCATTTGGTTGACACCTTTTATGTTTATTAATTGTTATTCCATTATTTTTTGTAGCTTGACTTTTGACATTGTATTAAGAAATGATGCCAAATATATTGATGACAATTTTAATGATGTGATCAAAAAAGAATGTTGATGACAGTTTTTAGAGTGAATTATATCAAGGGTTGCTCTAATGATCATTTATTCCCCATGCAAATACATTTCATCCCAAGCTACATTCATATTTTCTAAGACATGCTCTTTGGATCATTTCAAAAAGTTAGTATGTACGTTAGAATATACATCATCACTTGAAAGCTATGGGTCATTTGATAAACTCCACCTCGTTATCAACTTGATTGAATTGATCTATTGTTTAAGTTTACCAAATCATAATATGCTTGAAAGCAATATAAAATAATGTCAATAACAATAGACTTGAAAAAATACTTTGTTCTACATATTGTAAATTGTGCAAATTACAAATACATAAATGTGTTGTGCTTTACAAAATGGGAAGAAGCAAGCTTACAAGTATATAGAATGTGTTTGGGCAACATTATAGCAAAATAACAAACACCAAAGCATGGAGCTATTATGACAAAAAAGAGGACCAACCCTCAAGTATATATTGTCAAGAACAAAATGGAGAACAAAGCAAGAGGCTTGAGTTGAAATGAAGACTTCATAGTAGAGGATTTATATTCATATTCAAATTTGCATATGTAACATTATAGAATTTATATTCAAATAATATAATGTAATTCTATTGTAATAGAAGTTTCAGTGCATTCATATAATGATTTACCTTTCTTAAATACTTGATTAAATTCAATTGTTTCAAGTGACTTCACATCATTGTTCAATGAATCCTACAAACACAAAAAAATAAAATGACAATAGCATGAAATATGTTGTGAATGACATTGGACTTAGCTGAGGACTTGAAATATACTATCCTCACCATCATCAACGTTATGAATGACATTTGACTTTTGTAATAATCCTAAATTTTAAATTAGTTTTATAGTAAGTGGAGAGTGGTTAATTATTAAAACTCCTGCTAGTAATATTTTTTTAAGGTCTAAAGTTCAAATTCTACTAAGCATGTAATGACCATAAATTTTAAATTAAATAAATTTTCTCTTCTAATTTATATTTTATTTAATTGTTTTAGTTTGATAGAAAATGGTGAGTGGTGGTTTGATGAAATGTGTGTCAGTTGCTCGCTTGAAGGTCACAAGTTTGAATTTTATCGACCCAAAATATGGTTTCATTTTTGTTTTAAATTATAAAAAAAACATTTGTATCCTTTTTTGTAATTTTCTTTGTGCCTTTTCTTGTAATATTCCCAAATTCCTTAATGTTCATATTTCTTCTTCTCTCGGTCATACGTACATGTCAGAAAAAACAAAAAATTTCTGGATCCTTCGACTCTTAATCTAGTTCATCATTTCTATCTCCCCATGTGCCTCTCGAAGCTTCGAGAAATTTCTCATTGTTGTGTGTGCTCTTAGTCACCGACTTACCCTTTGTTCTTATCCCTCTGCCATTTGAAAAAAAAACAGAGCATGTGAAGGGGGAGAGAGAGAGATGGAGCGTCTAAAAATTTCCTTCCCTCCACTGAGTCGATTACTTCTCTGTACCTCACCGTTGACTGTTCTTGTTGCTACTGTTGATGCCTGCTACTCTTCTTTTCTTCTACATCATTGACTATTGTGGGGGATTGAGTCCTCGAATCGTCCTCCCCTGTCGTCCTCCTCTGCTCTTCCCTTGTTTAGTGTTGGCATGCATATGTGTGTCACCCGAAACCTCTCTTTCTCCTCAGTTCTGGCTGTTGCGCATGTGTAGGGTAAGCTTCTTGTTTCTCCTCTTTTGATTGAAGATTCTGCCTCTATTTTTCTTTCTTGCTACGTGAATCTTTTGAGAAATTAACAGCTAATTTGAATTGGTTGATACTTTATATAATTTTATTGGGATGTTAAGTTAAATGTTGATGAGAAAGTTAATATAAAAAGGTTTACTGTGAACTGAAATTTGAGTAATGCTCTCAAGGTGTTTGTAATAATACTTGAGTAAAGGATTTAGAAAAAATTGTTAAATTTTCATTTTTGTTGGCTGACACTCTTCTCTTACACCAGTTGTCATTACTTCCTCCCTGTGTATGCCAATATTAATGAAGGTAAAGAAGTCTTGAGCCCACTTATTTCTCATAGTTTTTGTGCGTGAGTGACTGAATTGATGATTGAGGATCCAATTTCTCCTTTTTGGTTGCTACTGTCATGACTGTATGAGAAGAATAGAAATTAAATTGAAGCTGAAATTCTGATTTAGTGCTGTCATATGAAATGTCGAAGATGATGCTTTAATTTTCTTAAGTTAAGATTGATTTATTCAATAAAGGGATTGGAGTTAGGAAGTTGATTTACTTATTTACTTATACATTAGAGAATTTTGACAAATAGAATATAAGAGAAAGATGTGGGTTGAAAATGATACATGGTTGGTGTGACAAAAAAGATTAAGAGAAGATAGTATTTTAATGGAGTGTTGAGCTATGGCTTTTGAAGGATTTTATGTGCAAAGTTTTCTCTTAAAATTTCAAATTT